TCTAAGGTGACTTTAATACTATTTGACAACGTTATATAATCTTGTCTTAAGTGGCCAAAGAGTTAGTTCTCACATTACTACCATGAGGAAAAAAAATATGGCCAACACCAGCTTCTTGAATCTGAAAGACCAAATTTGAATTCTGCCTCAGACAATCAATAGCTGCATGACACTGGGTAAGTCACTCAGCCACATTCAGCCTCAGTTTTCTCATCTGTCAAATGGGGAAAATAATAGCACCTACCTCACAAGGCTGTTGTGAGGAACAAATGAGATTGTATATGTAAAGTATTTTGTAAGTTTTTAGAGCACTATACAAATGCTAGCTTAATAGCTGCTTAATCACAATTAATAAGCTTAATCAGCTTATTGCTGATAAATAACTGCCATTTATATATCACTTTAAAGTTTGTGAAGCACTTTATACACATAGTATCTCATTTAAGCCTCACAGCAACATATAGCTAAGTACTGCGTGTGGTTTATATACCCATTTTACAGATGAGGAAAATGAGACTCAGAGGGGTTATAAGTGACTTGCCCATGGTCTCATAACTATTCAGTGCCAATACTTGAATACAAGCCCCTGACGACTAGAAATCCAATGCCTGTTCCATTCCACCACAATGCCTCATAACAAACTAAAGATGGAAAGCAAAACTGACTTCTTGGTTACTTAAAGGAAACTACTTGGCAGAGTTCAATATAAGTTACTAAGCCCAGATCTCAAGAACTGTGAATCTAGTGTTCTTTCCATTAACACCATGCTATTTTTCTTAAGTACCACATAAAGTCACCTTCTTGATAAGTTTTATTATTCATACTGATGAAGTTCAGGGTACACCCCAAAATGTTGGGTTGTCCAGAAGGAATTCACTCAGGCTGTCCCCAAAGCAAGTATAGATGTTTATTGGGGGTAACACACAATACAACACAGCACACCAAACAGGCTCCTTTGCCTCTGAAGGGAATCCCTAGCTTAAGGGGGGTGCTCTCTGCTTAAGGAGGATGCCTGCTAAAGGGGACACCCTCCAATCAAGAAATACTCCCAGGGCAGCTAGGTGGCACAGTGGATAAAGCACTGGTCCTGAAGTCAGGAGGACCTGACTTCAAATCCGACCTCAGACACATAACCCTCACTAGCTGTCTGACTCTGGGTGGGTCACTTAACCCCAACTGCCTCACTGAAAAAAAGAAAAAAGGAAAAAAAAAAGAAAGAAATACTCCCCTTAGCCGGGAGAGGCTAGGGATACTTATGGAGTGGTCAAGGAGAAGTCCATTATCTCAAGTACCACTTAAAGCCACTTTAGGAGACAATGAGATTCAAGTAGGCTGGTAACTAAAGAGGGGCCCTCCCTTTCCCTGCCCCTTTTCCTGGGGTGAATTATGGAATAGATAATGCCCCAAACTCTGAAACTACAGTCCCTGATTACCTCACCTCTCCACTCCCTGGCCTACAAGTCACTGGTCACCTCATCTCCCCACCTAAGGCAGGTTTTACTCTGTAAGAATCCCTAGCCTCTCCTGGCTGGGGGAGGATTCCTTAATGGGAGAGTGTCCCCCTTAGTAGGCATCCTCCTTAAGCAGAGAGCATTCCCCTGAAGCTGGGGTTTCCCTCCAGCGGTAAAGGAGCCTACTTGGTGTGTTGTGTTGTGTTGTGTTGTGTGTTACCTCCAATAAACATCTATACTTGACTTAGAGATAGCCTGAGGGAATTCATCTGGGACAACCTTGCACTCCAACATTTTGGGGTACTTCCTGAACTTCATCATTTCATCAATATTCTACCATACTTATTATTTAAGAAAAAATCAACACTAAACATATCATTTATAACAGCTTATTCATAACAAATCAAAGATCCCATCACTGAATTTACAGTTGCAGCTTAAAGAAATCCACATATGAACTCATTCAGTGGTGACAAAACAATGTATACAGACAATTTGGGAAGAAGGCAATAGTATTAATCCATTGCAAAAGAAATTATGATGTCTATAAATTATCAAGGAGGAATCACATCATTTTCTGTGTAAGTCTTCTAGAATACTAAGCAATTTACAAAGAGCGGTAATGACCTCTTGTTATTACTATACACAGTGGGTTTACCCTAAGTTGAGGTTTTAAATGGTTATACATAAAACGGGGAAACTATAAGGATGAAAGGGGTTCTTTTCTTTTTCCACTAACTCAAAAAATTTGAAATTAAATCTATAGGCTAAAATATTGTGGTTGGAATAAATGCTTTTGTTTTTTTGGTCTGAGTCAATGGTCAAAACAGATCACTCTCTTACATACAATTAAAAAATCTGTTCTTTAATGGTTCTTTAAGTAAGTTTCTAATATACATGCTTTGCTAGACAGAGGTGTCCTCTCTATAAATAAATATCAAGTGCTATAATTCATCTGTCAAATGAATTTTCCTTAAAATCATCCTTTTTGTCAATATCACAATATTAATTATTAACAAAACTCACAAGAGAACAAATTATTTATGAACTTGAGGTAATGCAGGAATTTGCATGAAATCTATGAGTTTATTTTCCATTCTTTAATACAAAAATAAATATATTCTTTTGCTCAAAAAATACTTGTTTGTCAAGGCAAGCGTGACTTGTCAAAGTCAAAGCAAGGTTGACTCTGAAGGGAAAATATCTTATTACTGCATTACAAAGAACAGTAGGGTTCAAATATTGAGGATAGCAATTGACAAAGCCAGTTAAAGAGGTCTCTCCAAATAAAGAATTCATGTGAACTACCAGTTCTCCCAATTGAGAATATTAAAAATTTAATAAAATACAGCCTTGTATATTCACATTTAAATTCTCAATCCTTAATTGTCTATATAAGTAACAAAACATAATTTAAATCACTATTAAAGCACCTTGATTTAACACGATTAAGCTTTTGAAATGCTGGAATGAAAAGTATCTTGTTCTCTATAAAGCCAAGTAAAATTGTCAAAGTCCCAGATCTTGATAATGGTGTCACTTTAAACCCACAGTATTTCCTTTTTCACAAAACCAAAAGAAGGACAATCCTAAAGCACAGAATTATTACAATGCACTTATTTTTGGTTCACTTTTTCTCAGTCCCCTTCTAAGATGATGTTAGCAAAATGCCCCATCATTAATTTTATGATTTCATTATTATTTAGTATTCCTCGAAACAAATGAATAAATGGAAGTAGACTACGCAGCTGTCAGCACACTTCAGCTTAGTGATTAGGCAATTGAACAGCACATAGCTCCTGTTCTGTTGCTAACCATAATACCTCCAAATCCACAAAGAAAATAATCATTTAAAAAAAAACTTCTAAAATGACTGAAGCATCTTTTGGAGAAACAGAAAAAAACCCACTTTTTAAACGCATCCTCAGACTAGATACATATATACAACTTTCTGTAAATTTTGAGGATTAATAAATTAGACCCTTCCAAAAAAATTGAATCATAAACCATTAAACAAGAAAAAAGATTTGAAATTTCTGGATACCCCCACATACTTCTCTACTAATATACATTTCTGACTAGCTTATAGACAGCTAACAGACTTCTAGGTCGTCGTTAAGTTTTTAACTGGGCTATTGCTAGCAAATGTCTTGACTATTCAAGCAAGGCCACTGAGGTTTATTTGCTCTTTCTGTAACTACACAGAGGCAGAAAGTCTTGTTCCTATTTAAATAGTTCTTTCAGCTCTTCTCTCATTCCCTAATAGGAGTCATGGCAGAAACCACAAGTGTCTTTCAGATTCAAATTGAACAGGACAGAATGTCATCTTTGGGACCTGCAGCAAAATAATAGCCGAATGAAGGGAAGGAAAAGATGAAAGTGGAGAGGTTTGAGAGGAAAAGAGCGAGAGAGAGTGCTAGAAAGGTACCAGTCAAAATTCACAGGCTGATGTGATGCACTGAATGACATAGCACCCCCAGATGACAAAAGTCCACGTACATAAACAGAGCTTAGATTTCTGTGATGCATCTAATTGTGAATAGATGCAAACGCCACCTTTTATCCTTCAACTCCTGGGACAAGAAAGAAAGAGGGATCCAAGAGGGGTTAAGCTACACGTTAAAAAATTTCTTTATTCCTCCATGCTCTGCTCCTCTCAACCCAAGCCCCAAACAAAAGGGAGGGGGGAGAGAGACACAACAAATGTCTGAAATAGTAGACAGCCGAGCCGAGAGAGGAAAGAACGAAAAGGGGAAGCAAAGGAAATGCTGCTCTCTGGACTGCACAACACCCCCAGATTCTGACGGAGGACCTCTTTGCCGGGCGGATGGAGAGCTAACGGAGAAGAGATAACGGAAAAAGGCAGCCCAGAGCAGAGCTCTAGCGGGCGGCCCGACCAGGTGGTGTCCGGATTAGACAGCGGGGAGAAGGGCCGGCGTGGGCACCACTGGGGAGGTGAAGGAGGCGCTCCCTCCACTGCCCGACCCACCCCACCCCACGCCACGCCAGGACTCGATCCCGGCAGGAGGAAGGGGAGGAAATGGCTTTGTATGACGGGATGAGAGGCAGCCAGGAGGATCTCCCCCACACACACACACACAGAGACATACACCACATACACACTTCAGCCAGCGTGGGGCAGGGAGTGCTGGGGCAAGGAGATGCCCCTCCTCCCCTCTACACACACACACACACACACACACACACACACACACACACACACACACACATATACACGAACACACGCGCGCACACACAACCAGGGTGAGACATCCCAGCCCCAGCCCCGCCCGCTGAGTCCTGAGGTCCAGAGTGTCCCCATCACTCCGGCTCGCGCTACTCTCGCGCCGCCTCCCCCCCCCACCAGTCTTGAGCTCGCGACCACCTCCCCAGCCCCCCACCCCAGCCTCGCTCTGGCTCCGCGTGCCTCGGCCACACTCCAACCGCCCAGAGTGGGACCGCTGTGCTGCCCTCCCCCCGACCCCCCCCAGCGGGGGCGCCCCACCCCCACCCCGCGCGCCCGACTCCCCTCAGGCCGGCCCCCCTCACCTGCCCACGAAGTTCTCGAGCACGGAGCTCTTGCCCGCACTCTGGCCGCCCACCACGGCGATCTGCGGCAGCTCTAGCAGGCAGCTCTGCCCCAGCGCCGAGAAGGCGTCCTGCAGCCGGTTCACCAGCGGGATCAGCTCCTCCATCTCCCGGTTCCCCATCCTGTCTGCCTGCCTGCCTGCCTGCCCGTCCGGCCGGCCCCGGCTGGCTGTCCAGAGCCCCCACCCTCCCCAAGCTCTGCTCCCAGCAGCCGCCGCTGCCCTCGGGGTCCCGGTCCGCTGTATCCCGGGTGCTGCCCACCCGACGCCCCGGCTCTTTGCCCCACGGCAGCCTGTGGGCTCCTCTGACAGCTAAGGGTCCGCACCACGCGTGCGCAGCCGAGGGGGCGGGGTCGGCGCTCAGCTCAGCCCTCCCTCCCCCTCTTTCTTCCCCTCCCCCATCCCCACTCCCCACATACACACGCACACTCGCAAACACATCTATCTATACACACACTCACACACACCCCGTTTTCAGCTGCTCTGCCCCCAAGGTTCAGAACACGACATCCCGTTGCTTCCTCTTGTTGTCGCCCCCTGCCATTTTCCCCCTTCCCTCCCAGTTGCAGACAGATGTTAAGGCCCCCAGAAAGAGAAGAGTCTTCTCCTTTCTGTTGCGAAGGTAAAAGTGTTTGGGTTAGGCAATGACATAAAAAGTATTGTCTTCCCGCACCACCCTGTGCTCCTCTTTGCCGCAGCAGTGGTCCAGGCAATAACAAGGGGGACTCTCCCTCCCCGCTCCAATCTCCCACTCATTCCGTACACTGTTGCCAGATTAATCAACGCCACTCCCCTGCTCCTGAATCTCTAATGGCTCCCCAATGCCCACAGAATTGATTCCCAACACTTCATCCTGTTATTTAAATAAACTCCATTCCATGATTCGTTCTAGATCTCCACAAATTGGCCCCACTTTTCTCCTCCCCTCTGCTCTGATTAGACTAGTATCCTCAATGTCCTTCACACCCTGACGTCCCCCTGCCTGAACTGCTTCCCTGCAGAATTCTAAGTATTGTTCAGGGCATGAGGGATAAAAGAATTCTACAACATTGTTTCTGCTCTCCAAGAGTTTACAATTCGGTTGGGAAGACAAGTCAACGGATTAAGCAATGTAAAAGCAACTGCACAATAAGCTCACGTTCCTATAATATTTTAAGGTTTACCAAGTGCTTACCTCACAACCACCCTGGGAAGCAGATAATGCAGATAGGATTACAACATTTTTACAGCCCAGGGCAATTAAGTGACTTATCCAAGGTCACACTAGTACAAGTATTAGAGCTAAGAGAGGCAGTGTAGTGGTGAGAAAGTTCTGGAGAGGCAGAGGTGAAAGACCCATGTTCCAATGCTGCCTCTGCTGCTCCTAATTTGTGCAACTCAAATCACTTTCCCTCTCTGGGTCTCAGTTTCCTCATCTGCAAATGAAGAAATTGGACTAAATGTCCTCACAGCTCTAAATCCATGACTAACACCAAAGTCTTTTATCTCAGTCCAAATTCAAGAGAAGTAACTATGTTACAAGAGAAAGTCTAAATAGAGACAAGGCAAAATACTGCAAGAAACTGAAGAGGGTAAGATCACTTTCTCAAAACCAAGGGGTTGAGGGGTGAAAGCAAGACATGGATTATATAGAAGAGGAGGCATCTGAACTGAGTCTTGAGGGAAGGAAAGACATCAACAAATGGAGCTGAGAGTCCATTCCAGGTATGAAATACAACATGGTCAAAAGCATAGTAACAGGAAAGAGCCAGGCAGAATGAGAAAGGGGGAAAAGAATACTCCAATTTGACCAGAAGGTAGACTATGCAAAAAGGAATAACAAATTTAGGCCAATGTGTTGGCTTTTGTTTGTCCTTCGTTCTTAAAGGGGACCATGACATCAGAAAGGTGATGCCATGACTTGCAAGAGAATTGGATTTAAGTGAGACAGGGCTGTACAAAGTCACCAGCCTCACTGTCTCCTCCAGAGCCATCTGGGTTCAGTGGCAAGACATAGATCAGAAATGACTGGAAATGGTCCCCAGGCCAGAATGTTGGACCCAGACAGTAGAGGAATTGAATGCCAGAATCAGAAATGTATGCTTTATTCTCTAGGCAATATGAAGCCACTGGGTATAGGAGAGCCTTGATTATAGCAGATATAGGAAGATTGCTTGGGCAGCAGTGTGGAGAATGGATGGGAAAGGGGGTAAAATGTAAAGTAAATTCAAGGAAACAGAGCTCTTCACATCAGACATACTTCATTCAAATGAATGCAATTCGTGTCAAAACCACTTAGGCAAGCTCGAGGCAACCCAAGTTTGGAGGTTATTATAAGAAGAGAAGAACTAAAAGCCTGAACTTTCATTTGGTGGTTGTAGCATGAGTGGAGGGGAGGGACCACTCTTGATAAATACTGAAAGAAGAAATAACAGAGCATGGTAACTGACTGAATATGTAGGGTTGAGGAACAGGGGAAAATCCAAAATAGTGGTTAATAAGAAGAGAAAAATTAGAAGAAGAAGGAATTCTAGGATGGAAGATAATGAGTTTGGTTTAATATATGATGTGTTTAAAATTCTGAAAGGTTATAGGATATAAGTTATAAGGATATGACTAGCAGGCAATTGGAAATAAAAGATGAGTTCAGAGGATGCCTAGAGCATGGGGGCATAGAATTTGGAGTCATCCGCATAAAAGTGATTATTAAAGTAGTGGAAACGTTCAAAGTCAACAAGATAGAATATGGAGAGAAAGGGAAAAAAGCTTAGAACAGAAATTGGAGGAATCTGCTATGAAAGGGAGGTGGAGGAAGAGCCAGCAAAGGAAATAGAGGAGTAGTCAGAGAGCTAGATGAAAAAAAAATGAGTGCAATTCACCAATTGGAGGAGTGGTCCATATTATACATCACAAAGAAGTCAAGGTAGATGAGGACAGGAAAAAAAAAAGGACCATTGGATTTCTTAATAAGGAGGTCATCAGGGACCATAGAGAGAGACCTTCAGTTTAATAATAGGGAGGGAACCTAAAAAATGAATAAAAAGTGAATAAATAAAGACTGTGAAGGAAAGCAGACAAGAAGAAAGCTTAGAAAAGTGGTAGGGTCAAAGAAAGTTTGGGTTTTTCCTTTTTTTTAGGATAGGAAACTGAGTATGTTTGTAAGCTAAATGGAAAGATGTATGAGATTTGAGAAGGGATGATATCTAGAAATCACTGAGGAGAAAGAAGGGGATGGAAAGGTTCTTTAACTCAAATTCAACACTATTTCCATTATGCCAGTACAGGGATCACTGTGGGCTGGAAGAATGTTTATTCTATCTTTCTATTATTATTCAAGTGCCAGCTACTCTGTAAAGATTTTTCCCAACCACTCATACCCACAATCAATCAATCCACATGTATTTATTGTGCTTTCTCTGTGCAGGTATCATGATAAGTATTAGGGATACAAATACAAAAAGCAATTCCTTCCCTCAAAGAGCTTTCATTCCAGAGGGGGAGACAGCATATATAAAACAGAATGTACAAGATTAATACAGAGAATGTGGGAAGTAACCTTAGAAGGGACAGTGTTAGTAGGAGATTGAGTGATGAGAGATGGGGGGAAGAGGGGACCAAGGAAGGCCCCCAGCATTTAGCACAGTGCCTTGCACATGGTAAGTGCTTAATAAATGTTTATTGATTAATTGATTGGCATTTGAACTGAGTCTTAAAGAAAGCCAGGGATGCTGAAACTTCAAAGGTGAGAGAGAAAGCATTCTAGGCATGAGGAACAGTTAGTAAAAAAGGAGATGGAGTGCCAAGTTTGAGGAAGGCAAGTATGGCTTGATTATACAGGGAATAGAGGGGAGTACCATATAAGATGGCATGCAGCTAGGCAGATTGGGCAACTAAATGCAGCAATGGATAGAGTACAGAATTTGAAAGAAAGACCTGAGTTTGAATCCTGCTTCAGCTCTTACTAGTTGCATGACCCTGTGCATTTAACCTGGCTGTGTCTCAAGAGATTCAGGGCTTCAGGATAGAGGTTTTTCCAGAATAGGAAAGGGGCTGCTGAGGAAGAAGAGAAGTCCAGAGAGTGAGTTGAGGTGTGAATGAAGTAAAACATGGCTGAGGCCTTTCCTCAAATAGTAATTGTCAAAAGTGGGATTTGAACCCAGGCCTTTTGACTCCAGAGGCAAGGAAGGCTCTTTCCATTTTACTGTTCTGTCTTTTTCTCATCTATAAAATGAAGGACTTGGACAAAACCAGGGGTTCTTAACCTGGTGTCTTTGAACTTTTTAAAAATATATTTTGATAACTGTATTCCATATATTGATAAGTTGGTTTCCATTGCAATCATATATATTTTATTTTATGCATTTAAAAACGTTATTCTGAGAAGGGTTGGCTTCACCAGACTGCCAAAGGGGTCCTCAACACACACACACCCACAAAAGGTTAAGAACCACTGGCCTAGATGGACTATATATTCAAAATAATTGTTCATTCCTCAAGGTGAAGGATTTCTTTAAGCTGTGACCATAAAATAATAAGATCTATTACGGCTTTTTCTTTAAACAAACATACTTGACTGTGGACTTTGAATCTGTGAGGCTACCACATCTTCCAGCAGTACTGACATTACTCAAAGCACTTACAGAATTCCACTTTGGGTTCACTTTCAGAGCCTCTTGACAAGTCATTGAGTACCATTACTTGACAATCACACTTCATTCAGGCCCAAAAATGGTATTAGCCATCTTTGTCACCTTGCACCTTATTCACCAGATTTGGTTTGATATGACCTTTGGTTGTTTTTAAAACTCCAATCTACCTTCAAAGGATGAAGATGTTCAAAAAATGTGCTCTTAAGGCAGTTCCAAAAGAGGTCCTCCAGAAACGTTTCAAGCAATAACAATGTTGGAATAAGTGTGTGGGCTACCAAGGTGACTAGTTTGAAGTGGGGGGGAAGCTCTTTTAGATGTTTAAATTCCCATATCTTTCTCATGTTAAAATATTAACTTTTCCCTGGTTTTTGCCCCGGAGACCTTAGATCCTGTTACAAATAGACCTCTGACAATTTTTGAGCACATCAGATATAAAAATTTACAGAATTTACATTTGGGTTACTACTATTAGATTTTAAATCACTCTCCTCACTACAGTCCTGTGAGGTACATATTGCAAGTGTTATTATCTCCATTTTACACATGAGGCATAAAATTCAGGCTACAAAAAGGTTGAAGTGCCCATGACCTCACAACTAGCAAGTGAAAGATGAACCCCAGATTTCTGAATCTTAGTCCAGCACCTCTTGCCCTTTAGCACTGTGTCCAGTACTTCCCCAGGTAAGACTATCGGCATAAGTCAGAATATGCATATCACAATGGC